TCAATTCACGTAAAAATCGAACCAAGACCAGCCTGTTCGTGGTTAAATGTGCTTGTGAGTCTGATAAAACAGTTAGGAATTAGCAGGTAAAACGGTTCTTCCTGTACATCTTCATTGCTCACGTGACTCCGTGCTTAAACACAAATAGCTGTTGGGCCACCTAATTTGTTTTCTTTTCTGCTTTTGAAGAACTTTGCTCTAAGGTAAGCAATATGATTTATTTATACTTACAAAGCAAATATTTAAGGGAATTTCATTTTGTTGATTTCAAACAATGAACATTACAGACAGCCGAATATGCCCTAAAAGAAACACAGTTCACGTTCACAGATTTTGTATAACGTGCGATTGATTGCTTTACGATAATTCGCTTAGGGTAAGATCCACTTCCCTCCATAGAGCCATCTTATTAAACACCAATGACGTTTATTTCCACCATACAACTCCCCTACACAAGTAGGATAGTAGTCTCGTTCTTTTGTGCCATTGTTCTAAATGATGTGCAACTTGTGCATGGCCTTCCCGGTCCCCGACTGGATCATTGAAATGGTGATTTAAGTTATATAAAAAGTTTATATGCATTATCCATATTAAAAAAGCAGTTATTATTAATTAAATGGGAGTCATTTTACCAAATCTTGGGGGTTTGTTTTATTCAACCTTATAGGAAAACAGCCCCTAATCAAAGGAGTGCATTTTTTACAAAAAAAGGTATATTATACGTCCAATCTTTGTTTTTACTAGAAATTACATTTATAAAAAAAGAAAAAACAAGTTCGTTTTAAAACATTTTGCTTTTCATAACATCCATCTTAATTTGTGAAAACCGCGTTCATATTTGAGGTGGCCGTCTTATATTACCTTCCCCTTCATTTATATACGTTAAATAATCTATCAAAAATAATAAAAGACAACTGATATGATTGTTCGATGACGAGGAACCCACTTTAAGACTAATAATGCTTGGAGACGGCTTGAATGGGCAATGAAGAAAAACTTTAATATAAGTTTAACATCTTGAATTCAAAATCATAAATTTACTATACATACTTTAACTGATTAGAAACTTTAACGTTATAATCCCCGTGATTCACAATTAGAAAACAATAATGTATGACTAGTTGTAAAATGATATTTCTATGTTTTTAACTTATTTTTACAATATTCTTTCTTTTTTTAATGTTAGAAATAAATATTATCATCATAACCATGAACACAAGCTAGAGCAGTGCCTGAAAGTTCTGAACATATGTCTTAGAAAACCCACTTCAGAATCTATAATAACAGATTAACATGTCCCCTTTCAATGATTAAGCTAGCTTAAATTTTGAAAAGTAGAATCAAGCAAGGATTGGCAACTGTTCTGTTCCAGGGCAGTTCAATGCAGGCCTAATTGCGCACAATATCGGAAGAAAATTTTAAATCACCATATACAGCAAACTATTACTTGTATTACAGAAACATAATGATATGAATATCTCAAAGTACACCAAAATTAAGCAAAAACTAAAACCACTTCCCCCACATAATTAAGCTTTCGACCACCGAAGTTCGTTATCTTCAGGGCAGAATTCAAATGTCAAGAATAACAGGGATTAATGGCAAAACTGAAATTACAGTTTCAGTAATAACAGTAATAAAGACTGATTTACATTCAAGTACATGTATGTATTTGTGAAAATACTTTATATTTTCTTTTTCTTTCAGTTTGACAAGGTGAGCGTTTATTATTCACCAAAATGTAGATTATATTTCTTGTTTTATATGCTTTGCTGCTTGTGATAAATGTATAGCTTGCAGATAACTGGCTTTTAATTGTGCTTACCTTACTATTGATCCAGCAGTCACATATTATTATAATCATTTCCCCTTGGAATTTCTACATTGTCCCATTGTTGATGTTGCTGGAGATTTCCTTTAGATTTGCACTAGTAGGTTTTCTTTTTATATTAATCGTGTATAGGTATAGAATATAAAATACTAAAGCTTCTTTCTATCCTTTCTTTTTCTCTTAATGGGAGCGACCAGGCCTAATTTAGATTTTGTATCCAACTCTAACAATATGTATATACAAATCAAAGAGTGTGATGCGTTTTGTTTCTTATAAAGTAGCTACTGATTAGCATGTTTTAAACCAAGTAAAACGTTTTTCTCTACTTCCCAACGTTCTTGTCCTAATTACTATTCTTACTTATTAATACCACAAATTAAGGTAGTAAGGTAAAAATGTTTGTGCCATAACCATAGGATCTCTATAGTGCATGTTCTGAATTTTAACATATGTGCTTTTCTATACTCCCTTGTGTTACTGTTGTAGAAACTGGGTTAGAACTTTGATAAACTTAGAATAATTACTCTCCTGAACGATGGTCATTTACCACCTCATATCAAAAACAATTTTCAGACTCTCGATCCATCTTCAGGATCTTAGAGGAGAGTAACAACTTGGGACTTTCCAGGGCACTGAACCAGTTCTTCCACTGAACATAAACCCCAGAAAACATGGATTATGGAGGATTGCTTTGGGGATTAGGAATCTGGTAGGTGTGAGACTGAATGGAAAACTTTTATAAAACATCCACGTTGTCACTAATCATTGGAGTCAAACTAACCTGTGTTATTTGTCACTTCCTTGTCACAAGCACCTCTTGCTGTCTCACAATAGAACTGGGTGCCAGTGGATGAGAAAGACTATTCAGAGCCTCATGACTGTTGTGCTCAGCACCTACACCTAGACATGAGAGATGGGATGCATATCTTGATTTCTGAATGGTGGAACTCTTCAAATGAAATTGCTTATATCTTGTTCTCATGAAATATAGGAGAAATGTGTAGTTCTGATCAACTCCATAACAGATGCAAGAGAGAGAGAGATAGGCATGCTATGGCTGCTGCAGTTTCATCGCTGCTAAACTAATGGAGCCAAGGTGAGATTTGACCTCTGAACTGAAAGGGTACAGTAGTCAGTTTGTGTCTAAGGATGTTGTGGTCAGGCCAATTCACACAAGGTTTGATGAGCTTAACGTTTGCTAGTAAAAGTGGAAATTAATAAACGTGTCTTCCAGGTTGTTATAGAAGCCATTAGAATACTGTCAATCTCGCAGTAGACCAGATAATCTGAGTGAAGTGCCACTTCATCTAGTTGACACAGGCTTCCTTCTGACAAACAATGACAAGTTAGGTGTTTGTGGAGAGGCACATGTCAAAATTTGTCTTGACACTGTTCACTAGCAGGATTAAGTTAGTTCTCTCTGATATTGGTTCAATCACTGATTTCTGAGGGTGACCTACTGTAGAAGTTGTCAGTCTGTTTTGCTTTTACTACATGTGAACTGCAGTTCTACTGAAAAACCACCCATTGTTCACCATACTGGACTCAAAAACAGTGGAGTTCATGAATACCTATTAATGAGGAAGTCACAGTGTCTACAAGCATACAAGTAATTTACTAGGTGTACTACTGATATGGTCTAGTGCATTATCATCATCTTCTGTAGTAATATACCGTAAATGATGAATGAAACACGCCGTTTTCTGCCCACGATTCAGCATGCTACTTCTTCAAACAGTTTCCTGGTCAAATTCTGAAAAGGTTCTAGTATTTATACGTACCTGTGAACGTTTGGGATTGCTATTTGTGTTTCTGTAAATAATTTCAAATCACCACAAGGACACGATCTCAGTGAATCGCTAGTTGATTTTAGCACACTGAATCAATACTTTGTGTAATAAGAAAGAATAGAGATGGACTACCATTTAAAATGGTTTTCGTAAAAAGATATGCTGAGCTCTCAATTAGTCTTGCTTTCAGTGAATGTGTTGCTGTAACTTCATGTTGTCCAAATAAGAGAAAAGTAGTTGTGTAAACATTGTGCTAGACCAGCCAGAAATTGCCAACAATACAACAGCCAGAAAGACAATGATGATTCAAGGTTACATTGTGCTAGACCAGCCAGAAACTGCCAACAATACAACAGCCAGAAAGACAATGATGATTCAAGGTTACATTGTGCTAGACCAGCCAGAAAATGCCAACGATACAACAGCCAGAAAGACAATGATGATTCAAGGTTACAAAAATACTAAAGATGGGGTGAATATTGCTGAGTAATTTTTAAGAGGCGATTTCATTAAAAGAAAAACTTAAAGATTAACAATTGTTGTTTTCTATAACAAGTTAAATGTATGTTGTCTAAATGTTTTTCTTTTATAGATTCATCTTGATCCCAGTTGGAATAAAGGAAGACAACGTAATAGAAAGATATATCTGCAGAAGCTAGAAAAAGAACTAATTTAACAAACTAAAAAGAGATGGTGACCAAGTGCTATAAATCTAATAATGACTGCAATATCAGAAATTGGCATTAAAAGAAAGCATGGTCGAACACAGGAATAATAGTGTAAAGTGCCAGAATTTTGTATGAGAAAAACATTTTAGGATATTATGTGACAGCTATGGTGGTTAAAGACGATTCGTTTTTAAATTTTGCAATACGTGTTTTGTTTTTTTTCAATAACCTACAAGTCTCATTTCCTTCATAAACACAGCTGAAAAGAGCATGCTACAGTGACTCTATGAAAACTTCTCTCTGTATGCTTTTAAGTAGCCAAGGCCTTTGACAGTAACTTATGATGACGTCACGCTACATTTTTAGCTAAGAGTTGTTGTTAATCGCTATTTAGTTCATCCACGACAGTTCACGAAAACGTCTGAGGGTATATTAAAATATAATCATTACAAATATTGAGTATATAGTTAATTTGGTCATCTCAGACTGTTACACGGATAAAATGAAACCAAAAATATATTATCTATGTATTTTCATTTTTTTACTTATCTCAAAAACTGCTTATTTCCCTTTTTTCTCCAATCATCTTTAAGCATATATACCATAACAGCATACCGTATTTTCAAGATTTGACACAATTTATATTCATAATGTGATAATATTAGAACAGTTCTTTCTCAAGTTAAATAAATAATATATCTAAAAACATACCTCTCATCCATGTCGGGCCTGTTCTGTTAGAACCTGTATTTTCTAGATCTTCTAAGATGATAGATATACTTGCTTTCTCAGAAACCATTGATTCAGATGGTTGTACTTCTTCGTCAAAATTATCAATTATAGGTACTTCATGCTCAAGATTCTTCAACTCAGGGTTCATTGCGTTATTTACCATTTCGTTGGTGCCTTCATCTTTTTCTTGTTTATTTCTCGACCCAACTTCTTTTGCTGGCTCTCCGTGAAGTTTTCCTTCTTCAAGCCAGTGAAAATTTGATGCAACACCCTCATTATTGATTCCAAATGTCCCTGGAGCGCAGTAATTTGATTTAGATTTTCGATGGTACAAGATTAGACATAATGTCGTAGTTAGCAAACAAATAGCCAGAGTACAAGATGCAGCAACAGCCTAAAAACAAAATGACATATTTTGAGCCATTAAAATGAGCAATAATAAATTTCCAACTTTAAGGAATATAAAAGTTTCAAGTTTTATATATTTTGTATCTAGCATCTCTTACCTTATCGTCATCTATGCAAAAAACGAAAAAAATATGTTGATAAGAAATATTGTACCTCGCTTTTCCCGTAAAGAAATAATGGAAGATTCTGATTTACTCGTGGGAAGTGATTCTGTAGGCCTGTTGTCACGAGTAACGCCGTCAGGATTACAATGGGAACCCTACGGATATAACAGTTTAACAAATATATCAGGGTTTTGAGCAGCTCCATAAGAATTTTTTAAAAATACATTACGTTATTTTAAGCACATCCTTAAGATTTTCTGTACGTGTTAGTTTTGTTCAATTGCTCACTCAGAGTTAAACACTCTACAATCCTAGGTTTGTGTGTATATATATATGTGTGTGTGTGTGTGTTTCTAAAACTTTTGATATTTATACCATGGTTAATTGTGTTTGTTTGTAATAAAGCACTCGGTTTCTAGCGTTGTAAGTCCGCAGACATGCCGCTGTGCAACTAGGGCCCCTGGTTAAGAATATACATTATTTACAGATATCTTAGACAGAAAAAAGGTAACTCGATAGAAACCAAATGTTCAGAATTATTTTAAAAAAGAAACACTAACGTACCCGAAACCAAAACCTAACGAATAAGGAATTAGTTTGAATAAGTAAGTCACAGTGTAGCGCTGTAGCAGCACTAATGATATAGCTAATACGGCAGTCCAAAGACGAGATGCTAGTTGGCCTCCTGTGATCATCGCTACTTGGAAAACAATTGATGATATTGTATTGTTGTTCACCGCAGACCACATCAACACTCCTGCGCTGTTAACAGCCTAGAAAAAATATATATGTAATATTAATTCCTCTACTTTGATTTTTATTGAAATTGAAAAAAATTAGACTTACATTTTATTTTATATGCGAAAAGACATTATCAGGAGAGAGTTTTTGGAATTACTTGCAAAATTAAAAGCTTAATCGAAAACGCCTTGTAACAAAATTTGCGTATGTGGTACGCTAGCTAATGACAAAGAACAGAATCTTATGATAGACAGACTGACAAATCATTGAAGGTAAAACTGACGATGCAGCAAAACAAGGTTGCTCGATTCGCATGCAAACCTATTTCAGTATCACAAGAGAATCATGTCGTCGTATGTTGAAAGGTATGACATATATAAAATGAAATACGATGAAATTGAAGGAAAATTACTTGTGTCTTAAACCTTGTAGGAATATGCATCGGTATTTTCACTGTGAATACTCCATGCGACAAATAGGATAAATGGCCAGGTCAGAGACCTTTAGAGTTCAGGTATAGCCGTCCCTAATTTTGAACTGCCGACCATACAGAAGGCAGTTAGTCAGCATCATCACCGTCACAATTGTTTTGATTCGCTTTGAACCGATTCACTGTCACTTTCATTACACAGCTACAGCTGAAGGTGCAGAGCGTGTTCAGTAGCATCGCAGTGCCAATCTTCGACCTTCAGATCCAAAAACCGCTCACTAATCATTACGCCATATCCGGCAGAAATAAACAGTATTTACCTTCCGTAGGATAAAAACTAACATAGAAATAAAATAGGATATTTTAACACAACAGATATTATATTGATCTAATGAGGACAGTTGAGACATAAATAAACAATTATTTATCTTATGATGTGAGTTGCGACGGAAATGAAATGATTAGCATGACAAGAACTTATAAAATAATTAATCGATTATTTTAACACAAGATATAAAACAAATTTAATTTTACTACAAGTGCTGAAGAGAAATGTAAATCACTGTCGGACGAGAAATGAAATAGAATTTAAGATAAAGAGTCTGTTGAACACGAAAGAGTTAGGTCTTATAGCAGCAACTGGAGCAAAGCAGAGAGGGATTTAATAGATATCCTATTGTTTTATAAAAGCCTAATAAGGACATGAAGTAGAGTTACTATTCCTCCCATAATCTATCTGTGTTACTATAGATCTTCAGGTTAACAAAATTAACAATGGCATTGTTCTTAACAAAATACCAACTTGCACTTTCCATTTTGAATGAAATCTGTAGCTAAAACATTTTATAATTTAAACTTTGAAGACATTTTGACCAGTTTTTTAATCCAAGAAAGCCAATTCAGTAGTAAAAGAAGTTATTTAATTGAACCGAGACAGGCATAGTAAAAACATGTTCATGTCAAAAACAAAAGGCGTGATACTCACCTGACTAATCACAAGACAGAAAGTAACCAAGTGGGGAGGTCGCTTCCATCGTCCACTGAGCAGGAATAAGATGGCCACCCAAGCCTAGAAATTATTACGCTATTCAATATTTATTGTTGAAAGGCAGAATTTAAATAAGGTCAATTGCAAATACGAAATACTTCATGTCAATTTTGCCTTTTAAATTTCCTCGTGAAAATATTTCAGCACTTTTGTGTTACGCATATTACTAAATGTTAATCAATTTTCACGACATTTCATCCTACTGGTATGTTATTTACAAGAAACTGTCGATAACTATTTTCAGAAATAATTTTTTTATAAGGTCCTTCTAAAATTGACAAAAATCAAATAAAAAAACGATAAAATTCCAGCAGGTGGACCTGCCTTCATCAGGGCTACTGATAATAAATAGGTCCATCTATCGAAACTGCTATTTTTATCGTTTATTATGTGATTTGTCAATTTTTTATTCTATATGTTTCTAACTATAATGAAAAAATTTTTAATGGCATTCATTAAAATGAGTGTTTCGTCTAATTCTATCAGATAAAGTGAAAACAAAGGTTAAAAAAACAACAAATATAGATATAAGTAATCCTATTGCGTTGTCTACATCATTTTGGTTTTAATACTCTTGACGTTGTATGGTTGTAACATTATCAAGGAATAGAAAAATGAATATGGTGTAACGTATACTACCGCTCTTATCGCTCGGGGATACTTCTTAGATTATATAGTTAAAATAATGCGAAGTCCAGTTCACATAATGATAAAAGTTAACTTATTTCTTACTTAACGTTTGGTACAGGCTTGTACACAGTTGTTGGCCTAAGTTCACAAGTAACGTTTTCACTTTCAACTGAATTTCTTTGCTAACCAACCAACTGATTAAGCTGGCAAACTACAAAAACTGTCAATACACGTTGTCACTAACTAACTTCCCTGAATTCTCATTCACTACTCATATGAATACGTCAATAAACTGAACTCTTGAACTAAATACTTCACTAAATGATTGGCACACTAACTCTAACGATTTGTTTGTTTGAATTTCGCGCAGTGTAAGAATTTAGCAGTGTAAGACTAGAGGGAAGGCAGCTAGTCATCATCACCCACCGCTAACTCTTGGGCTACTCTTTTAGCAACATATAGTGGGATTGACCGTCACATAATAACGCCCGCACGGCTGAAAGGGGCGAGTATGTTAGGTGTGACGGGTATTCGAACCCGCGACCCTCAGATTGCGAGTCGAGCGCCCTAACCACCTGGCAACTCTAACGAACTGCTTACACGCATTTATAATTGTATCTTTGTTTATCGATATTCCGCAAAATCTCATGATCATTACATCATTTTTATTAGCAGCTCCCTCTGGCAAACATTTAAATTAAAACATTCAAAATATAGCTTACAACAATATTAAAAAAACTAGTAACACAATACAAAAAAAAAGATTTCTTAGAAATAAAATATCAGTATTGTACAAGTATTATCAGTATGTTTAACCATGTATACATTTATTGAGAGTACTTACACATCCAAGAACGCCAATAATACTGATATAAAACAACGTGTCCTTTAAATGGCCCGCGTACGAAAGAACTCCTGTGAAGTTTAACGTAATCATCTTTGCCGAAACAAACATCAGTGGACCACTTAAAAAGGTACACACTACCATAGTTGATGCAAGCTGGTGAAAAAAAAAGTTTAAAAGAAAAGTTAAGTTTAACCTAGATAAAAATAAGATTAATAAATATAATTTTATATTATAATATATACACTATCGCTTTTAAACAAAAACTGTATTTAATTTACTATCGAAACACCATACTACAGATAAGGCTATTAATTATTATTGAAAAGTAAATAAGATAGTTATCAAGATCTTTATGTCTTTGCTCACGACGAAAATCGACTGTGCTCTGTATATTCTAAAGAAGAACCTCAGCTCCCAAAACTTTAGTTTTAAAGCTATTGTAATGATTTATTGTCTTCAAGAAATAACACAGTGAAATCATATGTTAAAATACTTCTAAAACAGGTGAGGTTTCATAGATACTTTGATGGGTTTTTTTTAATGAATAACTAAAAACTATAATTACACCAACATCAGACATACGTATGAAATTATGTACTGTGTCCCTGTATGTAGTTCAGTGGTTAGCGTGCCGGATTATGGATCTTCAGATCCCATGTTCGCTTCTCCTTATTACAAAAAAAGATAAAAACACGCCCCGCACTTTGGAGTCGTAGATACATTAGAAAGGTCATAATCAAGTTCTACTATTCGATCAGATAGTAGTAACCCAAAAGTTTGTAGACAGTAGTAACCCAAAAGTTGGTAGATAGTAGTAACCAAAGAGTTGGTAGATAGTATTAACCAAAGAGTTGGTAGATTGTAGTAGCCCAAGAGTTGATAGATAGTAGTAACCCAAGAGTACGTAGATAGTAGTAACGCAAGAGTTGATAGATAATAGTAACCCAAGAGTTGGTAGATAGTAGTAACCCAAAAGTGGGTAGATAGTAGTAACCCAAAAGTTGGTAGATAGTAGTAACCAAAGAGTTGGTAGATAGTAGTAACCAAAGAGTTGGTAGATAGTAGTAACCCAAAAGTTGGTAGATAGTAGTAACCAAAGAGTTGGTAGATAGTATTAACCAAAGAGTTGGTAGATTGTAGTAGCCCAAGAGTTGATAGATAGTAGTAACCCAAGAGTACGTAGATAGTAGTAACGCAAGAGTTGTAGATAGTAGTAACCAAAGAGTTGGTAGATAGTAGTAACCCAAAAGTGGGTAGATAGTAGTAACCCAAAAGTTGGTAGATAGTAGTAACCAAAGAGTTGGTAGATAGTAGTAACCAAAGAGTTGGTAGATAGTAGTAATTCAAGAGTTGATAGATAGTAGTAACCCAAGAGTTGGCAGATAGTAGTAACCCAAGAGTACGTAGATAGTAGTAATTCAAGAGTTGATAGATAGTAGTAACCCAAGAGTTGGTAGATAGTAGTAACCCAAGAGTACGTAGATAGTAGTAATCCAAGAGTTGGTAGATAGTAGTAACCCAAGAGTTGGTAGATAGTAGTAGCCCAAGAGTTTGTAGATAGTAGTAACCCAAGAGTTGGTAGATAGTAGTAGCCCAAGAGTTGGTAGATAGTAGTAACCCAAGAGTTAGTAGATAGTGGTAACCCAAAAGTCAGTAGATAGTAGTAATCCAAGAGTTGGTAGATAGTAGTAACCCAAGAGTTGGTGACTGGCGTTGACTAACTGCCTTCCCTTTCTTCTAACAGTTGAAATCTAGGGACTGGCCTAGAATAGAATTATTCGAATATCCAAAAACAAACAAGACAGGAAAAACAAATGGGTAGACAGGCAGATAAGTAGGCAGTATCGAATTCTAAGAACTATACTTTAGGTTTCAAAAAATAAATCAAACTAACTGAATGAATATATCACAGAATATGCACACACACATATATTGCAAAATTCAATAATAACTTTCCTAACTAAACCTCCCTTGCAATATTTAACTGTGATCAAATCGATTTTCGAGCAAACAGTTGCGATTGAGAGATTGCCACAGGGCTTCACAATACAGATTCATATTTAAAGTTCAGAATTTAACACAGTGATGTTATACTAAACATCTGCATCATCAGAAAGCTTCAACCATATTGTTGGTGTGAACGTGCTTTGTATTCACTATGAGAAAAGCCTACACACTGGATAGCTGAAGTGAAGAAAAGGTGTCATTGGCCACTGTTCAGTTCTTCACATTATATACTCCCATAACAGCAAATATAATAAATAAACTTAGTATTCAGAGAATTGTTTAATCTCGAAGTCTAAGTTGAAGGGAGGTCCAGTTTAATCTATATTGATGAGGAGTGGAATTCTCCGAAACTAGTATAACTCAATAACACACGTTGATCAAAGAGTAGAATAAAATGGACCTCCCTTGAACTTAGACTGCGAAATTAAACAATTCACGGAATACTAAGTTGATTTATTATATCAGAAAACTTAACATCACAGAAGTCATGCAATGTTACAGACATTCAAGATAGACGTTTTAGTTACTTTCGTTTTAACAGGAATGAGAATATAAAATATCTGTCTTTTAGAGGAACATGTTTCGAATGATCTTCAATCTATGTTTCCAAATATACTATATTTATAAGTAAAACTGTAAATTTGCTGGTCAAGAGTTTCAGACATCTTATTCCTATATTAAGAACAAAATTTGGTTTGGCTGTTAAGCACAAAGCTACACAATGAACTATGTGTGTTCTGCCACTGCGGGTATCATAACCAGATTTTTAGCGATGTAAGCCTGAAGGTTTACCACTGAGCCACTGGGGGTTCTTAGAAAAGAGAGGAGAGTGAAACAGTCATAAATAATTAAACGATAACACACCCTACAAACATTTGGCTGTGTGAATCATCTAGAAGAAAAGCTATGCTATCGTCCCGTAATCTTATTGTAACGATGATCCATCACCCAGAGTTGGTTGGCTCGATTACCATAATCTATTGTATGGTAACTGGAAAGTGTTCGACCGTGTACATGGGATATCTTGTATTAGGATTTTTGCTAGAAAAGGAGATAAAAAGCACCCTAAAATAGGAGATATTTCCACTTTTTATATGCTTTTGGTTTTGAATCTAAAGACAAAAGTACTTAATCAATTACATAAGTCAATTATTACCTTCCACAAAGTAGAGTATGCAATTAGCATCTAATGAGGTCATTAGAGATTTAATAGCAACAAAAACAAAAAAGAAGGGAACATTATCTAACATTGTCCTTCATACATCTTTAGCTTTCTTAACAGGCAACTTCAGCTAGTTTTAGTAATATTGGCGTCAACAAAAATCTGATAAAACTATTTCTATGATAGCAGCACTTAAAACTGTCATGTTATGTATGGTTACTTGTTTTAACATTAGCTACAGTACTTTTGGCACCAGCGATAGAAAAGTTATATAGAACAGAATCACAGTAGCATGAATGTTGTTATCGCAAATAAACATACCTGCACGTTAGAACTAATGTTGGGGGGATCAACATAATAGTACACAGTACATTGACTAGGCGTGGCCTAGTGGTAAGCGTGCCGTACTATAGATCTGCGAGTCTGGTCTTCACATCTTGTAACAGAAAAAAGAAAAATTGTTCTGTACTTTGGAAGCGGCCCCCCAGGGGCACAGCTGTATGTCTGTGGACTTACAACGCTAGAATCCGGATTTCGATACCCGTGGTGGGCAGAGCACAGATAGCCCATTGTGTAGCTTTGTGGTTAATTACAAACAAACAAACAAACTTTGGGAGCCTGGGTGCGTTTTAATGGTAACAATCATATCCGGTAAAACAACAGTAAATCAATAGTTGGCAGGGGGGCTGTTGACTCATTGCCTTCCCTCTAGTCTATCAGCTTAAATTTATGGACGGAACTTGAGTAGTTATACATGAATATTCGAAAACAAGTAAACATTTTACTAATTTGTCATTAACACTGTGAATGGCAACGAAAAACTGTTCTGCTCACTTTTAAAGGTTACGGTTCCTAAGTCGAATCCAGTTAGTGATACTCAGTAAAAAGCCCAAACGTTAATAAAACGTTTTATGAGAAAATTTAACTAACCAAACACAACTTACTACATTTCTATGGTTGAATTACATTTCTTCAATTCTCGGTCCACACTTACCATGTCAGTAGGAAGTCCGTACTGAGCAGCAAATAGAAGAACAACGGGACCAGTTGGTACAGTGCCATAAAGAAACGCATAATTGACCAGATCATCCTGGTCAGAAGCCTTAGTACAAAGTAGTTTAACAGCGGCACAGAGTATTAAAGGAGTGGCCAACCTGGATCAAAAACAATACACAGAACAGATATTGTATACTTTATAATCGAAACTATAAGATCAATAATATGAACGATCACAATTAAAATCTATAAAACAAATTGTTAGGGTTAATTAATAGGTTAAGGGATATTTTCGGACTCTCCTCATAGTTCTTTTCTTTCTTGCTCGGAATGAATATTTAAACGTTAGAAAAGCTCCTTGATTAATTACTTTATCACACATCATATCAAAAGTCTAAAAGCATACATAAAACTTCAACTATGTTAGAAAAGCAATCAAACCCTATAACTTTCGACAGGTGGACTTGCCTTTATCAGGGACAAAAGCAAGAATCCTTCTGTCATACTAAAGGCAAATCGACCTGTCGAAAGCGCTATGGTTCGCTTTTGCCGTTGATAAAGATAGATCTATCTGTCGAAAGCGTTCGGGCTTTATTTTGGGATTTTTTATAACGTAACTTAAATCTCTTTAATCTTAAGCGGTTTTTATTTTTAGATGTTTCGTTCAAGCAGTGATTTTTTTTCCTGAAGTACCAGAAACACCGTAAAGCTTTTTTCTATGTCTTATACACTGACAAAATCCATAAAAAAATTTGGAGAAAAATAATATTTTGAGGGTTAATGTTTATTTATCATTCTCATTTAAAATAAGTAATACTAACAACCAAAGGTGATTAAGATGACAGAACGTTTAAAATAAAAGAAGAAAAGACACTGTTTTACGTTAAAGGTGTAAGAAGTAAAAATCAACATCAAAAACAAAACTGTACAATTGGAAAAACATGCTGGGTGTGGCCAAGTAGTTTGCAAGGGTGGGGCGTCATCCAAAGTTTCATGAGCTACTACCGAAAAAACGCGCTTTTCATTTTGGTGTCATGAGAGAACTATAAAATTGATAGTGAAATCCTGCTAATCGGTCAGAAAAGAATACCTGAAGGATTGGCGGTGAGTACTGTTTACACAAAAGTATACTCAAGTATTCCTTGTGTAGCTTTGTGCAAAAATTCTAAACAAACAAAATAATGAAACAGGCCTGGCGCTAAGTTTTTTGCTATCCTGTGCAAGTTTTCAATTTGCTGCCCCCATTTCTAATTGAACCCAAATCGATTAGCGTAGGCTTCAGTGGTTATAACACTAAAAATTTGGTTTCGATACTCGTAGTGGGCACAGCGGAGAACGGGTAACTTGCTTACAAGCAAATAAACAAAACCCATATACTTTTACTTTCAGTTTTAAGACAAAATCTTAGGATTACAAATCCAATCAATTTTATTAAAGCCGGAGAAAATATTATAGTAACTGTTAACACGTAACTATCGTACCAGCCCCAAATCTTATAATTACGGAAAATTCTCCTTTCTTTCTTTCACTGGGGCAAAATCGCACGCTCTTGAAGTCTAATTTTGTGTTATTTCATACTGGATCGAAATTGTTTTTAGACCAACAAATTTTGTTTGTGTTATTTCTGTCTCAGGTATTAACCCATTTATGTTTGCAAAAAGCTTCTTTTTCGTTATCAGTAGCGATGGGTGGTAAAGATAGCAGAATTATCGGTGTCACAACAATTTGGGAAACGGCAATAATTATCTGTTTTTGTATATACACATTTCAAAATAATTTTAGTCATTCTTCGTTTGATGGCCTACAAGTCATCACATATATATAGTTATGTTGCACTCTCATTAACTGTCTTGCCATCTGAAAAGCTGACTTAAAGAACCGTGGTTTGATTGAGCAAGTTCCTTGAGCTAATATTCAAAAACTAACCACCGCAGTAAAGGAAACATAAGCGTATTATTTTACTTGTTGGAATCCCTCTTCGCTGATTCACTGGCTGTGTTGAGAGTTTTGTGAGAAAAACTGACTTTGAAGGTTTATTGTGGATCAAAGATAGGTTCATCACAACTTTCAAGTATCTCCTCTCCTTGTGAACGATCTGCTATTCTTGCAAATGTAATTTACTGGAATTTTTTTTATATAGTTATAGAATAGGTAATACATGTCAAGATCACTACCTTGCAGCTGTTTGCTGGTGAGGTTGATTTCATAAAGCAAGTCGTGCCATGCTACAAGACTAGCCACACATTTGAAACTTAGGATCGTAGCAGTGATTGCTTTTGTTTGGAAGCACAGTTTTGCTCCACTGGCTCCTGTGATGATTTTGTAATCTACAATGGAAGGCAGAGAGTATCATACACCTCTCCTAGCTGATATTGGAATTCACCAACAGGGTCAATTTTATTTTCCTATCGCATATTATCCAACGACTCACAACTAACTGGGAAACATGTTTTAGCAATACATCTCAATGATGAGTTGCATCAGGAAAGTAGAGTTATATGCTTTGGATAGAATGAAAGAACACCACTGTTCTTGTGTAACAGATGGATATGTCATTCAAAAGAATCATTGCTTGTTTGTTTGTTTGAAGTTATGCACAAAGCTACCACGGGTATCGAAACCCGGTTTCTAGCGTTGTAAGTTCGCGACAAAAATGCTCTTGGATTTAACAAGTTTCAAATTCGTTCATTGAAGACTATTGTTCTTGAATTTTTTTTGGCTTCGTTAACATATCCTTAGCTTCATAAATATTCCAGAAGCAGCCTGGAGTTTGCTCAAAGCAGGTTTGGTCATGTAGGTACCACATGTGTCTTACAGCAGCAAAAATTAAGAAAATGCTTGTTAATACTGAGCTTACAATCTTCAGACACAGATGTCTCAGTAGATATGACAAACTGAATGACCACTGTAATCTGTTCTGTATCACACATGCCTGAAGTGGAGTTGAGAACAATCGAAGAATACTTAACATTATTAGCAGCAGTTATCACAGGTCTATATATTATTGGATAAGGATTGAATCAGCTCATTTTGGATGTTCTTTCCCAAACAGTGTTTACAGAGTTGTTTACGTAATAATTTTCCTATAACAAGATCAAGCATGAACAAATATTTAAGACAGTTTGGTACATTTTCATTTCATCTACAAAAATCTTCTCATCACTTCAACGAAGAGCAATTTTTTGAATTCTATGAACTCTTATCAAAGCAATAAGTCTTTTTAGTAGACATGTCGGTGTTTTGTATCTTATTTAATCAGGCACAGGTTTTCTGTATTGATTTATTGGTTCATTTCAGTCGATATTATCATTATTTCTACTGTTGAAATGCCTGCAGGTGATTTATTGACTTTTCACCTTGACTTAAAAGTTCTGACAAAATTTTCTAAAGTTCGTGCAGAAACAAATACTTAATCGTGTGTGATTTAATAATGAACAAGTTGACTTAATACTTCTTCTTAACAAATCACCGTGTGTGATAATTTGTTGTGAGTTTAATTCTCTTGTTACCTTTGGAAATGCTGAATATTTTCAGCTGTACTGGACCCATTTTGACTAATAGATTTTGCACCTTCGATTCAATTTCCAGCTATTTAATGGAACAAATCAAATAACATGTATTTTTATTTTCTATCTGCTTTTTCTCTTTAGAATTGTCTTTGTCATGAGAAGCTATGGTTTCTTCAGTTTCTGAGCATGAATGTGCAGCATTGGTCTGTTCATAACTCTTCTCAGAAGTAGTTGTTGTTTGTTTTGGGGAGGAGGTCATTCTAGTCATAATTTCGTTAGCGCCCATTTGATTTTTCAAATATTTCTCTTTTCCTGCTTTCCTGTTTTGAAATTGAGCACCAGAAAGACAGTGTTTTCCATTAGCCATATTTTTCTTAAGCTCACTGCTAATCACTTTTGAGTTATTGTTGTTTTAATTTTGATTTTTAGCTATCTTGCAACTGTGTTACAAAATCGTAAAAAAATCTAAAATAGTTTTATTGAGCAATTTCCTGAAAAAAGAATTAGAAATTTCTACTACATAGGGAAGGTACTGAACACTCTGCCCCTACTTTCCCATTAAATATCGCAGTAGTTGTGTTAAACTTGGAAAAACATAACGGTACAGGTGATATTATAAATCGTACAATGACATTAATAAATTAACTAATTGATAAAATCAATCTTTATCATCCTCCGATTTTGTTACCCTAGGTGACTGCTTGCTTTAACTATCCACTAACTCCCACACTGAAGTAGAACTTACACTCAATTCATGAACTGTATTAACCATCACATGATCCCTACTGCTATGAATTGACAAGTTATGATGTAACTATAAGCTTACCTAAGAATCTTTCTAACATAGACTGTTGGCGAATCAAATAAAATATCTCTTGATATTCTGATATTGAGACTTAGTGAATAGAATGGCGTTAAATTGAATTCATGTGTTCGTTTATGAAATATCGTTTCAGTCATAGTTAAATAATAAATGTTTGTTCTATAACACAGCAACATTGAACCATCTGTTATGTCCACCGCAGGGAATCGCGCCGCGGATTTTGGCGTTGTAAGTCCGTAAACTAACTATTGCCTTACAGGGGGACATTGAATAATATAAGATCATAAAGTATGGCGTCTATGATTGTAATTCTGGCAACTTATGTCTATAAGAGCTCAATTAATCCAAGGTACTGATAAATGAACTATAGTTTCAGTAAATTGAATCAATGCGTAAATTCATTACGATTTACATGCATGGAAATATATGTTCCTAAAATCTGAATTAATCCCATACAAAGTGGAGCCACAATATTTGAAGAGGAATTTACTATGAGGTGATATGTAATTATACCTAAGGAATTAGTTATTATATATATAAGTCTACATCCACATTGTTTTTGTATCTTAGTTTTCACGGGGGTTAGCGCAACTGTAACTTTATTACAAAGACAATTAAATAGTGGCATTTCGGTATTTCCTGGGAGGTCAAGTCGGCATGTTGACATTAAACATTTGTTGTTCATTTTGTGTTTTGTTCACCATGGTTATATATAGAGAAGTAGCGCACTCGGTCTTCTCTTATTTTTACATGACCACTTCATTCTAATTTAATAATTTATTCATAATATTAACATTCTTTTTATTATTTGTTTATTTTGTGTAAT